CTAAGCATTCTGGGGTGTGGTCTAAGTGTAGTAGCATCTCCAATGGGAAACATACTGAAGTTCTTCTCCTGGTTAGAGATAATGAATACAATTGATGGACAGAGACTTGATAAGAGTTAGAACATCTTGGACATCACCTTGTGGTCTATGCTATCAGAATTCCTAAAAAAAAAATGGAGAAAAACAAGATTGGACAAAAGTGTACGACTAGAGTTGTTGGAAGCCAAGAACAAATGTCCCATCAAAGAAGATGGAAGTGGGGTAGAGGCCCCGAGAACCAAGAAGCAAGTAAGAAGCCACAGAGAGAGGATAAACAGAGAACCATCTCAAGCAAATATCTGGAGCATTGGTCATAAAACTGCTGTGTGTTTATTTTAAGGTAGTACATGGAAGGAACAGTACATTTAAGGTAGCAAGATGGACAGTATAACTTAGAGTTATTGAGTGCTCCCTCCCCATGTCAGATACTGCTCTAATCATTTTGCATGACTTACCTCAGAGTAAGCCAATGAGTTCAATTTACTGTGAACTCCATTTTGGAGAACAAAAGTACAGCGAGACATCAAATAACTCATCAATCCACACAGCTAGTAAGGGGGAAATTAGGTTGATGAGTATGGAGTCCAGATTTGAACCCCCAAAATTTCCAAGGCTGCATGCTACTACGTGCCTTGCTAGGTCACCTCTTCAGATGCTGGAAATAGGCCTCATGCTGGGGTTTTCTTTAGATTTACTGATAGTTCTTTTACTGGCTAATATTCTGGTACTTTTGTGTTGGCAATCTGTGTATTCAAAAATGTCATCTGATTTCAGAGATAAGATTAATCTGCGTAGAGAAACAAGTCACATAAAATGTATGGTTCTGAACTATTTTAACGTACAGATTTCAAGGTAAGCTTCTGGCTGTTACAAGTATCACAAGCTTTGTGAAACCCTCCATGCTCTGTGAAAGTCAGTCTTTTGTAATAGGTCTCATAAGTTTTATTAGCACATGTTTACCTTTGCCCATTTGAAAATACTGAAGTTTAGGAATATAAAATTCTATATTGGATTTGATCTGAGTAAGGAGTCTTCCATTATACAACAGCCATATACGTTCTCACACTTTTTCTGCATCACTCCTAAGCTGGAGACATCTTAAAGTTTTACCATGTTTACAATAGAAATTGTAAATTAAAAATAAAACCTTTTATGCCAATTTTCTAAGAAAGCTTATTTAGAAATAAAACAATCTTTTTTAATGGAAAAAGGCTGAAAAAGAAATGTACTGAACCTCACTGAAATTTATGAATACATTGAGATCCAAGAAAACTTCCTCAGTAGCAGTGCAGTGTCTGAATTTTCACAAAGCATGTCTACAGCCATATCTTCTTGGTATTTAGAATTGCTTTAGTTCATGAATTGGGAATGCAAATTGGTAGTATCTTCTTAGGGTTTAGTTCTTCTTTGAAACTATTTACACATAAAGAAGGAGAGTGCTAAAAAATACTTTTTTTTGATTCCTCTTTACAGTTTTAGATACTTTCAAAGATCCAGTTCCACTCTGAGTTCTGAAGAGAGTAGAGTTTGTATCATGATTAGGAGCATGGAATTTGCAGCCAAATCGGGGACTGCATCTGTTTTACTTCTTTTTTTTTTTCAGGTTTCTAATTATTTTAATTGCACTAGATTTCAAAAATGTATTGAAAATTTTTGTTTTTACTACTATTTTTATGGATTGTTGTCAAATTTCAAAATTTTCCTTGCTTGTAAGTAAAATGATAAAAACTGTTAATACAAATAGTCATGATTAAGCTTGTTTATCAATTACTATGTGTATGTATATGTGTGTGTGTGTATATATATATGAATTTATTTTCAACCTCCCAATAGCAGAGTTACCTGAGCATCACTGTGAAAGAAAGAAATTAGGCTCAAGAGGAAACGAAACTTGCCCAGAATGAGATGGCTCATGGACAGAGCCAGGGCATAGACTGAGGCTGTCGGGTTTCCTGTCACTTGCTGCCGCATCTTCCTCATTGCCCCAGTATAGGGCTGGGCAGATAGGAAGCAGGAAGAAGTGGATAAATAAAGCTAAGCTTCAGGACCTCTCAATTGCATGGACACTGTTCAAAGCTCTGGCCCTAAACCTGTATGTATACTTCAGCATTCCTTTTCTCACACGTGACCCTACACATCATGCACGTTTTTGGCTTCACTAAACCTGGATCTTCCTCAGCTAGGCGTTCAGTAAATGTTGGCTCTTACTATTGTAGGCATCCACTCACTATTATAATAATCCCACTTACTACTTATTATAACATTCATGGAGCTTGTTTGTGCTGAAATTGCAACTTCCCAGATACTCTCCCTTTTCTGCTGCTTGTTTGCCAGCTCCACACACTTTGATTTTTTGTTTACCCAATTTTCTCCATAAGACTCTCCTAGCTGTACACTAGGTTACATGCACATAAAAGGCCTTGTCAAATGTGAAGCACAAGACATATGAATTTTTGTCACTGCTATCAGCAGGCATGTGCTTTTGAGAAGTGAGCAGACATCCTGGAGAAATAGGTCCTCTAGTTGCTTTCTCATTTCACCCCTCACTGCTTCTACAGTCTACCATTTGTGATATTGAATACTGTACTTAGTGTTCTATGAATTTAGCATGACCTTGAAATCTGTAAAACTTCTGTGGTAAAAATATTGAAAATCATGATGACAATAATTATACCAGAAATGGATTATCGAAGCAGTCATAGACTAAGTGTATAACTTACATTATGTCATTTGATAATTATAAAACCTTGTGAGTTTGGAATTTTATTCCCAATTTACAGCTAAAGAAACAACATCTTGGAGAGATTATATAACTTGTCCAAAGTCACAGAGTGGATGGTAGCGTTAAGATTGGAACTCAGATCTGTGATCCCAAGGCCCTTGATCTAACCTACTCTCTCCAAGCTCCCTCTCCCCAGCTTTGCTCAGACCACTAGCACCTTGATTCAGCTACATTAAGTGTGAGTATAAATAGTAAATTGATTCAGGAGGGAAAAAACCTCGAAAAACTCAACTCTTTATATCTGAAGTGTTCAGACAAATCATGGAGTCAATTATATATTCTAAAATTATGCAAATGATCTTTGCAGTTGTGAATTAATCAATGTTAATCACTTGAAAAATAGCTTTTAAGTTTTCTTTTTTTTCTTAGAGATGTGTCAGAGTAGTTGAAATTCTCTTAGTAAGCTTCCTTTTTAAAAATTCCTTTTTTATCCTGGCAGATGAAGACTACTTGAGTTATTTTGGTGTTGAGCAACAGTCACAGTAGGCGATTAAATTAGAGGCAGGTGTAAACCCCCTAAGTGTTACCAGGGCTCTGTTTTCAGATCACGGGGGTTATGGATCAGCAGTAAATTTCTAATGCCTTTCTTTTGTGTAAGGGAAAAAGATACTAATGTGACCTGCTATTTAGAATGAGGAGTCAATAAAGGAAAAGAATGAGTATTGGATGAGGATGATATGGTTTATCTGCTTATTTGGGTATGAAAGCAACGCATTCTCAGCTGTGGGTATTTCAGGTGTTCCAGTTAAGAAAAATGCAAATAGAGCAAAAGAAATGGCGATCCCTTTTCTTAATCAGTAAATAATAAATCTAGTGACTCTCTGTTCTGTTTCAGAAGACCTTAATCTAGTGATGTTGAGTAGTTTCTGAAGGTCTTCTCATGAATGAATCTCATTCCTATTTATTTACTTTCATAATTTTTTAAAAACAAGAGAACTGCAGGAATACCACTGTAATGTGGGGAAGTGCTCCAGACCCACCATGAAAGGGGTATTTGACTCCTGAACTACTGGGCATCTCAAGTTGTTTTTTATTTTTCAGTTTGCATTTTGTGCCACAGATATGTATTTTTTCTTCCTAAATAGTATACCAAAGTAATATTTTTAACCTGAAAATTAAAATTTATTTCTCTTAGGCATCTGGTGGTTTTTAGTGTGCGTTTTTCCTCTCCCCTTCCAAACAGTGTATTATTTTTTTTCTTAAGTTCTTAAATGTAAATCTTTGTTTCCTTCCATGGTTTTTGTATTCTATGATTCTTAAATTCAGCAGCTTTATATGATTTGAAAAGCAGATTAATTGTTAATCAGATATGGTTTGATTTCTCCACTGAGGAAAGACTCTGTGGTGGCTTATTTAAATCCCTTAATTTCATCTTACTCTCCAAGCTTCCCAAGTGTCTCCATCCCTGAGTTCAAATAGACCGACTAGATCTACCTCTTGCTAAGCTCAGCAAAAACACTGTCTCAAACACATGGTGATTTTGAGATTGACTGTTTGCAAGAAATGATAGCAGACAGAGCGTGTAGACAAAAATTAAAACACATACACAACTTGAGAGTTGTGAGTCTCAGTTTCATTTGGGGACCTGACTGAGGGCTGCAGCCCAGGAAACGCCCCTCAGTAGTTCTGAGGGGCTTGTGCTGAAGAGGCCCTTGCGGAGAGGCCAGTATATACGTATTATGTTTATTTGTATATGTATGTATGTATGATTTTATATCTGATTTTAGCCAAGGAATACATGCAGTCGAGCATACATCTCAATAGAAAGTTACTGTTAGTCATGAGGAACAGGTAACTTGGTTCATAATTTTAGTACTTTGCTTCGTATGACAAGATCCAAGAATCCAGGTTCATAAATTTTTTCCCTGAAATTTGTCTAACTATCTAAGAGGCCTATTTTGCCTGTTTTCCTGAAGCACAGAGCACTTCATCCCGTCCTTCACCCAGAATTCCTTTCAGGGTATAGTGTAGGTCAGTGCCAGCAGTAGATAATGACTTAATCCTTGTAGAACCAGATGGTGGGCAACATTCCTTGTTTCATAGCATCTGACAAAGTGTGGTGACTCCTTCCTCTAGCTGACTTCAACTTTGCTTCCTCTGTCTGCTGTGGCAGGTCTCCTCCTCCTCGTTTGGATAGTTCCCTAACCATTCAGTAGCCCCACTCCTAGGTGGGCAGGGAGTGGGTATAGCTGAGTGGTAAAGCACATGCTTGACATGCATGACATCCTGGGTTCAATCCCCAGTGCCTCTATTGAAAAACGGAAAACCCCACTCCTGATATGTAACCCTCCTTGCTATCCGTAATACTAGAATTTGTCATAGAACTATGCACTGCAATTGATTTCCCCCTAGAGACACATAGGCAGCTAGAGGAATTTCTCAAATGTCCACATTCCTCACTCATCGCCAGGGAATTCCAGTGAGTAAACTTTTCTCAATCTCTTTACAAAATAAATAACCATCAAAAATATTGTCTTAGAAAGGTCAGAGTGTTTTCCAATATTTTGAATAGACTTTATACATTGTAGATATCCAATGATAAACAATGAACTAGAGACCCACAGTGTGGTGTGATTTAAAAATTTAATAGGTTTTTTGATTTATGTCAAAATACATTGCATGTCAAAAGACCAGTTTCTGGATTGTGTTACTTTTATCAGAATGAAAAATGCCATTAAATGTATCATTGAAAATTAAGTAATGAAATGATTTGACATATAAAAGAAAATTTTAAAACAGTAGTTTTTCTCCTGCTGTCACAACTCATTTAGATACCAATTGTCTGCAATTGCAAATCTCTGAGTTGAAATGTCAGTGAATGGCTGCCTGTGGTGGGGAAAATGTCTCTAAGTTGAATCTGAATATTAATAGCCAGAGCTGTATCAAGAAACATGATTGGTTTACTCTTTTATTGGGATTAAAATTATGCACAAACATTGGAGAATTTGGCAGAAATAAAGTCCCAAACCAAAGCATCCCCAAGACCTTGCCCAACTATTATGTCACATATACTCCATAAAGTTTCCCAACACACTCCCTGTGACACCAGTATATCTGGAAGAAGGGGGAAAAGCTAGAAGTACTCACTTCTTCAAATTGCCCAGCCTTTGTCAGTATGTCACAATCTCATTATCTGAGGCACAGGCTATTATGTGTTTAACATGTCACTTTTCTGGCATAAGTTTTGGCATACAAAAAAAAATTAGTGTTTGAAAAGGTGGTCTTGACAAATTTCAACAAGCTCTTTTGTAACTATTATGGGCTGCTGAGATACCCAAATGACAGGTCTTTGAGAGAGGTGATTGCATTTCTTATAAACACTACAGCTCCATGAGTTATATAAACATATGGAGGGCATTACATATATATGCAAAAAAAGGATAAATATTCCTTCATAATAAGCTTTCTAAAAATAATAAAATATGGAAAGAATGAGATTATAGAAATGGAGACTAAGCTAATTTTAGAAATTTTATTTTATGATATAGGGTGATCGAATACCTAGATGAAAACAGTTTGCTTTTATTTTCAAGCATAGAAAAGCATTTTTGAGATAATTGCTGGATTCCTTCTTGCTTGACTCAAGAGTAATTGGAGACTGGAATCTACTGAAAAGCCGTTTGGGATGTGGTTGTAGTGGGTTGAAAGATATCCCCCATGGATGCCAGATGCTAATCCCCGGAGCCTGTGATTGTTTCCTGATACAGTAATATCCACTTTTGCGTATATGATTAAATTAAGGATTTGGAGATGAGTTTTATGGATTACCCAGGTGGACTCTAAATGGAATGACATGTTTCCTAAAAGTGAGGCAGAGGGAGTTTGACAGGGAAGAGAAGGTGAGGTGAAAGTGGAGGCAGTGAGTGCGACCATAAGTCAAAGAACATGGGCGTCCACCAGCAGCAGCAGAGCCTCCAGAAGGAGCCTGCCCTGCTGACACTGGTTTTAGTCCAGTGAAGCTGATTTGGGCTTTTATCCTTCAGAATGGTGAGAGAATAAGTTCGCATCATTTCAGGTCACCCAGTTGGTAGTAACTTGTTACTGCAGCTTCAGGAAACTAATAAGCTTGTTATCTATCAAAATATCATATAATAAATATATAATTTCATATTTTACTAATAAAATTTCTGAAGGCCATCTTCTGTTACTTAGAATTTTCTTTCTGAAACCCTCTTTGCCAGTCAGATAGAGAAATGAACAAGAAAATAGACTGACATGATAAAAATGTACCAAAATGTGATTCATTAGCAATATAGGAGTAACCCTCTCAAAATAGTCACATAGCTATTAGAATCTACTATAAAATTACATAAATTGTCCTGGACGATATGATATTTAACTTATCATTCATCATAACTTTTTAGGTTATATAGGAAAAAAACATTTATAGAGAATACATCGCTTTTTGAAAGATATTATACAAAATAATATTTGGTGAGGTAAATTGATAATTATTAAAGTATTTAAAGAAAAATATGTCAGAATAAAAATGTGAAACTGAATAACACCAGAGTAAAATTTCATTCTGCTTTTATCACCCATAACCACAAGTAATCTGAAAAATTTGGATATAAATCTTTGCTTTGGTTCAGACCATCTTTAAATATATTGAAGAAGAAATGATTGATATGGAATAATGGATGAGAAAAGAAATACAAATATCCAGTTACATACCAGAATATTTACTGAATCCACAAATACAGAAACTTCAAAATAAAGTGCTACTAAATAAGATTAATTGGTTTACTACAAGAATAATTATACATGAACGAAATATTTTCCTAGGAATTGTCAGATGATTTTATTTTAAATGAGAAAAAAAAAGTTAAGAAATTGATAACAATTTAAAAAAGCATAAATATGTAACTTTGGGAAAAAAGAAACAGAAATGAAAGAAATAATCACTAATTATTCTTCAATAAAACATAAACTAAAACATTATTATTTTTCCTAGCAAGTTTGTTTAATTTTTTTGTTTTACTTGCAAAGACTCAGTGACAGCAAGTGTGTCATGATATAAGCTCTCTCATGCTCCACTTATGGGACTATCATTTAGAACAACATATTTGGAAAGTTATTTGGCAATAGTTCTTAAGAGTAATAAAATATTTACACCTTTGACCCAATAATTTTAGTTCTACAAATCTCTCCTAAGAGAATAATTTAAAATGTGGATGCTTTTTGCTTAAGACATTTATCACTGTTATTTGACATATTAGAACTTTGGAAACAACCTTATGCATTCCACAATGGCGAGATAGTTGTGGTGTATTACATTCTCATTCTCTTGCTCTCTTTTTTTATTTTGGTAGTTGTTGGGTGTGGTGTTTGATTAAAAATTTGCATTTGGCAGAATAGAATGAGTATTTGAGGTAAAGATATGGATATTACCAAAAGAGAAATCAATATATTAATATTAGAAAGAATCCATAATATGCCATACTGATTAGCTAAGAGTAAGTCACTAAATATATGTGGTTGGTTAAATAATGGCCCTCAAATATTTCTGCCTCCTGAAAGTCACCTTAATTTAAGGATTTTGAGATGAGGGGTTATCCTGGGTTATGCAGGGGGACCAGTCTAATCACAGAGATCATTCTAAGAGGGATGAGAAAGGAGTCAGAGAAGAAGATACGGGGTGACAAAAGCAACAATTAGAATGATGTGCTTTGGAGATGGAGGACCCCAAGTCCAGGATTACAGACAGCCGCTAGAAGCTGGAAAAGGTAAGGAAACAGATTCTTCTCTCAGACCTGCCAGAAGGAACCAGTCCTACTCACATCTTGGCTTTTTCCCCCAAAGAACTGATTTTGGAATTCTGTCCCCCAAAATGGTAAAAGAATGAGTTTTTGTTATTTTAAAGCTCCAAGTTTGTACTAATTTGTTACAGCAAAGTAGGAAACTAATGCAACTTATGTAAGAGTAAAGTCCTTAATAGGAAGATTTCTACTTTTCTAATCAACCCACACAGGAGTATCCTGGGATAACTGAGTATGTGTAAAATTAATATGTGTGCAGGAATTCATTGGAGGAGAAAAATCAGTGTTCTGTTTACAAAATATGTGTAATAATGGCTTAGAAGGTCAGGAGGCAGTAGGAGGGGTGAGGAATATTTCATACAGAAGTCTTGGGGAACTTCTGAGAATGTGAATAAGCCAAGTCTGGTAGCATAAAGTTGTCTTATAGGCTCTCTGGATTAGGTACTGAATAAATAATTGTAATAAATAAAGATTTTCATTACTTTTATGAACCCTTAAAGTGGCTATGGCAGCCTAGAGAGTGCCTAGATACTAAACAACTCATAAATTGGACTATTTACAAACCCATGAAAAATACAATTATAAAGTAATTACATGAATCATTTTATTAAATCATTATTAACATTAAGTGAAAATGTAAGAGACAAATTTATATGTACAAATGATTTCAACTAAACTATAAATATGTGTAGATAAAAGACTAAATGGAAAAATGTAATAGTAGTTCTCTGAGGATTGAGAATATCAGTGACCTGTTCTGCTTCTTAATTATATATTATTTCTCAAATTATCTAAAATTAGTATGTACTTTAGAGTCAAATTATGAATCAGTAAGGCATTTAATTAATAATTTAGTTATATTTGTGCTGTAAATTTCTAGAAATATACTTGCTTTACAATTAATATTTATATTGAGACAGAAAATTATTACAGAATTTATTTTATGAAGCAACTTCCAGAAAATCAGCTTTATAACCACAAACAATGGATATTTTAGTAGTCCATGTCTAAGGAAGTTGAGTTCTCAGGCACCTGAAAACAAAACATACAGCAAAATTTTAATAGTTAAGATGTACAGAATTCCAATGTGCCAGGTTCAAGAATCTAAGTATTTCATATAGTCACTTGTTTAATCCTCAGGACAATCCTATGACTATCATTACCCACCTTTAGCAGATGAGAAAATTGAGGGGCAGAAAGATTAAATAATTTATTTAAAGTTTATTCAGCATATTAACGGTAGCGAATGGATTCCAATCTTGACAGTGTAACTTTAGAGACGCACTGTAACTGCTCTTCTTAACTCCAAAATCTTTGCAAGTACTATTCTAGAGTAAAAATTTAGAAAAATAAATTATATTATTTTCAATTATTATGAAGTGTGGTTTATATTAATTTTTGGTGCTTTTGCATATAAGATACATAAGTATTACACGAGTTGGTCTTGTTCTTGTCAACAATAAACTATAAATTATATATGCATATTTTATAT